AAGAACTTGAAGAGCAAGTAAATCATAGAATCATAGAATACTAGGACTGGAAGGGACCTCGTGGCAGGACCAAATACTGTCTAGACCATCCCTGACAGACATCTATCTAACCTACTCTTAAATATCTCCACAGATGGAGATTCCACAACCTCCCTGGGCAATTTATTCCAGTGTCTGACTACCCAGACAGGTAGGAACTTTTTCCTAATGTCCAACCTAAACCTCCCCTGCTGCAGTTTAAGCTCATTGCTTCTTGTTCTATCTTCAGAGGCCAAGATGAACAAGTTGTCTCCCTCCTCCTTATGACACCCTTTTAGATACCTGAAAACTGCTATCATGTCCCCCCTCAATCTTCTCTTTTCTAAACTAAACAAACATAATTCCTTCAGCCTTCCCTCATAGGTCATGTTCTCTAGACCTTTAATCATTCTCGTTGCTCTTCTCTGGATCCTCTCCAATTTCTCCACATCTTTCTTGAAATGCGGTGACCAGAACTGAACACAATTGAGGCCTAACCAGCACAGAGGAGAGCGGAATGACTTCTCGTGTCTTGCTCACAATACACTTGTTAATGCATCCCAGAATCATGTTTGCTTTCTTTGCAAAAGCATCACACTGCTGACTCATTCAACTTGTGGTCCAAAAGGGATGTAAGATCCCTTTTTGCCATACTCCTTCCCAGACAGTCGCTTCCCATTCTGTATGTTTGAAACTGACTGTTCCTTCCTAAGTGGAGCACTTTGCATTTGTCTTTATTAAACTTCATCCTATTTACCTCAGACCATTTCTCCAATTTGTCCAGGTCATTTTGAATTATGACCCTATCCTCCAGATTAGTCGTAACCCCTCCCAGCTTGGTATCATCTGCAAACTTAATAAGCGTACTTTCTATACCAATATCTAAATCGTTGGTGAAGATATTGAACAGAGCTGGTCCCAAAAGAGATCCCTGCGGGACCCCACTTGTTATACCTTTCCAGCAGGATTGTGAACCATACTATTTAACCATAAACAAACATAATTACAACAAAGCTGATATCACAGAGTCTTGGTGGAATAATACATGATTCAAATATTAGTATAGAAGGGTACAGCTTGCTCAGGAAGGATAGGTAGGGAAAAAAGTGGTGCCTTGTATATTAAAAATATACATCCTTGGACTGAGGTTGAAATGGACATAGGAGAGAGACTTGTTGAGTCTCTGGGGTAAGTTAAAAGGGGTAAAAAACAAGTGTGATGTCATGCTAGGGGGTCTACTTCAGACCACCTAACCAGGTAAAAGAGGTGGATGAGGCTTTTTTAAACAATCATCCAAAGCAGAGGGTGTTGGGGGACTTCAACTATCTAGACACTCTTATCTCTGTGCCACAAACACAATCAATGTGTGTCACAAAGTCTATTTCTCTCTCTCCCCCCTTTTCTCTCCCCATCCCCTGTCCTTTCTGGGGGAGGGGACTGTGTTGAAGCCAGCCACAATCACATAACCAAAACTTGTGAAGTGGACCTCCTGAAAAAATTATTGCCCACTCCTGATCTAGATAGTGCTTGTTCCTGCCATGAGTGCAGGTGACTGGACTTGACTTCAAGATCCTTTCAAGTTCTAGTATTCTATGATTCTGTAGTTGCGAAACTGTTCAGTCTCTATGACAAACCTATAGGAGAACATTTTAACCTGCCTGGGCACTCAATCATAGATTTAAAAGTAGCCATTCTTCTACAAAGGAATTTCACCAGCCAGTTACAGGGTGAGAGTGTGGAATTGGTATTCATCTGCAAATCTGACATGTTTACCTGGGCTTGAGGAAAAACATTAACTGGATGTCGCATTATAAAGTCAGTTTCCACTTAATTAGCCTCATTAGCACCAGTCCTACAATAGACACACAGCTTTGTTCCCGTTATTCTTTTTTTTATGTTACATCTAGTTTCTTTTATTTCTACTCCAGCACAAAACTAGGAAAACACATTTACACAGGTATACAGGACAATTCTTTGAGAAAATAGATCCTGCTTAGAGGAAACTTCCAAATTCAGGTGCATGAGTACTCACATGTGAAATATACACAGGGTACCAGCTCACAAAGAAGCACCACAGATTGGCATTTCATTTGGCATTTCAATCCTGTGAGACCAAGGATTTAATCAGCATTGGACTGAACTATTTTTTTTAAAAGAGGTGTTCCTCCAATCCAGATTACAATCAAGGCAGGGCAACACTGATATGTACCTACAGGTGTTCTAAAGATATAAATGGGAAGGGGCTGGGGGCAGCTGTTGCTTCAACTTTGCTCATATGAAGCCACTTGGCACCTGGAAGCATCCTACAGAGGAACACAGTAAAGAAGAAAAACACTCTTCAGATATACGACTGAGGTTCCAGCTCCTATAGTAGGAACACAAAGACAAAAATTGTGAGGTCTCCTTTTACAGTTGCGTTCCTAAGCCAAGTCAAGTTCAGTGCAACTCACAATTTGCACAGAAATGGCTCTTCTTACAATCCAAACAATAGGGATCTAGAAAGAAAGTGAGGAGCTGCTTTCCAGATTAGCATCATGCATTCTAGTATCTTTTTATTGTACTTATTTCTCTATAGCATTTCCCCTCTCCTGTGACATTACCTTGTTAAGATTCCCAAAACCCATTCTCTGCACAGCGGACGTTTTCCACTCTGGAAGAGGTGGCACAAACTGTACAGCAGGTGGTTGCTGTTTCAACACTCCCAGAGGCAGAGTGCACAGGACAGCATCACATTTATAAATAAAAGTCTGGCTAGTGGAGCGGGTGTTCACAGCTATCACTTCACAGCCTGGTAAAGGTAAGGAAAGAGAGGCATTCAGACATTTCACAGCCAGGGCCTTGTGGAAAAAACAGCACATGATCATACCCTTAGGAGACTATCATGATGCATTCACACAGTTGGATAGAATTTAGGTTGCACATACCACCTCAATTCTGGAATGGTCTAATTTTTGAGTGCTTGAATCCAACCTCAGGAGGTCATCAAGACAAGCCCTCTGCCCAAGGCAGGACCAATCCCAACCTAGCCACGCTGAGACTTAAAAACCTCCAAGAATGGAGATTCCACCCACGCCCTACGTAACCCATCCCAGTGCTTCACCACCCTCCTAGTGAAATATTTGTTCTTAATATCCAACCTAGACCTCTCCCACTGTAACTTGAGACCATTGCTTTTTGTTCTGCCCTCTGTCACTACTGTGAACAGCCTCTATCCATCCTCTTTGGAACCTCCCTAAGGAAGTTGAAAGCTGATATCAAATCCCCCCTCACTCTTCTCTTTTGGAGATTAAACAAACCCAAATCCCTCAGTCTCTCCTCATAGGTCATGTGCTCCAGCCCCCTAATCATTTTGGTTGCCCTCCGCTGGACCCTCTCCAATGTGTCCACATCCTTTCTATAGACACATCCTTTCGGGACACAATACTCCAGATGTGGCCTCACCAGAGCTGAATAAAGGGAAAAAGAATGGTTACTTACCTGTAACTGTTGTTCTTCGAGATGTGTTGTTCACGTCTATTCGAATTAGGTGTACACACCGCGTGCACCGCATCTTCTGAAGCGTTTTCCCTAGCAGTACCCGTAGCACCAGCAGGGCATCCCCTGGAGTGGCGCCGCCATGGCGGTGCATAAGTACCTCTGCCGGCGCTGCCCCTCCTCAGTTCCTTCTTGCCGGATGCTCCGACAAGGAGAGGTGGGGGGGAGGAGTTGAATGGACATGAGCAACACATCTGGAAGAACAACTGTTACAGGTAAGTAACCGTTCTTTTCTTCGAGTGGTTGTTCATGTCCATTCAAATTAAGTGACTTCCAAGCCAACCCCACTTCAAGGAGGAGGGGTCGGAGCACTCAGAAAGAGAAGTCCATGAAAGTTGAACAAACCAAACAAATTTATTCAACCAAACACACACATAAATACCGTACAAAGTGCAATGTTACACTGATAACCATACATATTTACAACACAGAGCTGAGGACTGCAGAGCCCACTCCTGTGTCCTCCCTGGCCTGCTGTGCTTCACAGCCTGGTAAAGGTAAGGAAAGAGAGGCATTCAGACATTTCACAGCCAGGGCCTTGTGGAAAAAACAGCACATGATCATACCCTTAGGAGACTATCATGATGCATTCACACAGTTGGATAGAATTTAGGTTGCACATACCACCTCAATTCTGGAATGGTCTAATTTTTGAGTGCTTGAATCCAACCTCAGGAGGTCATCAAGACAAGCCCTCTGCCCAAGGCAGGACCAATCCCAACCTAGCCACGCTGAGACTTAAAAACCTCCAAGAATGGAGATTCCACCCACGCCCTACGTAACCCATCCCAGTGCTTCACCACCCTCCTAGTGAAATATTTGTTCTTAATATCCAACCTAGACCTCTCCCACTTGAACGGTGACACCACCTTGGGGAAAAAAGCCGGGTGAGGGCAGAGCCTCAAGTTATTGTCAGAAAACACCAGGTAGGGCGGATTTACAGTTAACGCCCTCAGTTCAAAGACCCTGCGAGCCGACGTAATGGCCACAATGAACGCAACCTTCATAGAGAGGTGCTTCAAAGAGCACGTGGCCAGCAGCTCAAAGGGGGGGGGGGGGGCAAAAACCGCTGGACCCTCTCCAATGTGTCCACATCCTTTCTATAGACACATCCTTTCGGGACACAATACTCCAGATGTGGCCTCACCAGAGCTGAATAAAGGGAAAAAGAATGGTTACTTACCTGTAACTGTTGTTCTTCGAGATGTGTTGTTCACGTCTATTCGAATTAGGTGTACACACCGCGTGCACCGCATCTTCTGAAGCGTTTTCCCTAGCAGTACCCGTAGCACCAGCAGGGCATCCCCTGGAGTGGCGCCGCCATGGCGGTGCATAAGTACCTCTGCCGGCGCTGCCCCACCTCAGTTCCTTCTTGCCGGATGCTCCGACAAGGAGAGGTGGGGGGGAGGAGTTGAATGGACATGAGCAACACATTGGCTTCCTACTACTTAGGAGCACCATCTGTACCTCCTGGGAACATTCCCTTTCCGGTTGGGTCAACCACGGATAAACCAGGCCGTTAGGTGGAGACCTGAGATTCAGGTGAGCCATGGTCCCCCCGTCCCAAGGTTGGGTGAGGAGATCCCGAGCTGGCGGGAGCATTACAGGCTCCTCGCTGAGCATGTCCACCAGTATAGGGAACCAAAATTGTCACACACACATAAATACCGTACAAAGTGCAATGTTACACTGATAACCATACATATTTACAACACAGAGCTGAGGACTGCAGAGCCCACTCCTGTGTCCTCCCTGGCCTGCTGTGCAAGCGCGTAGTGCGCTGTAAAGGTGTGGAGTGACGACCACGTGGCCGCCCTGCAGATTTCAATGATTGGAACCTGCTCCCCAAAAGCCACAGAGGATGCCTGCGCCCTGGTCAAGTGTGCTGTAACCCAGGGTGGGACCTTCCCAGCCAGGGCATAACACTCCCTGATACACCCCGCGACCCAATTGGACAACCTCTGGGTTGAAATGGGAAGCCCTTTCATTCTGTCAGCAGCAGCAACAAACAATTGTGTGGATTTGCGAAAGGGTTTGGTCCTATCAATATAAAAAGTTAGTGCACGTCTAGCATCCAGGGAATGGAGCACTTGCTCCTTAGGGGAGGCGTGGGGCTTTGGAAAGAAAACCGGGAGGTAAATTTCTTGGGATAAATTGAACGGTGACACCACCTTGGGGAAAAAAGCCGGGTGAGGGCAGAGCCTCAAGTTATTGTCAGAAAACACCAGGTAGGGCGGATTTACAGTTAACGCCCTCAGTTCAAAGACCCTGCGAGCCGACGTAATGGCCACAATGAACGCAACCTTCATAGAGAGGTGCTTCAAAGAGCACGTGGCCAGCAGCTCAAAGGGGGGGGGGGGGGGGGGGGGCAACACAAGTCTAAACAAAACGAGGTTAAGGTCCCAAGTGGGGAGAGAGGGTCTAACCGAGGGATACAACTTATCCAAGCCCTTGAGGAACCTTTTAACCACAGGGTCAGAAAACAGAGAAAGTCCTGCCGAACCAACATGGAAGGTGGAGAAAGATGCCACATGGACTTTGATAGAGGAGGTAGAGAGGCCACCGGACCTAAGTTCAAAAAGGTAGTCCAGAATGGACGGGACAGGTGAACTCCCCTTCAGGATGCCCAAGACGAGAAGCGGAACTACTTGGCTGCGTACAACTGCCTGGTAGATGGCTTCCTACTACTTAGGAGCACCATCTGTACCTCCTGGGAACATTCCCTTTCCGGTTGGGTCAACCACGGATAAACCAGGCCGTTAGGTGGAGACCTGAGATTCAGGTGAGCCATGGTCCCCCCGTCCCAAGGTTGGGTGAGGAGATCCCGAGCTGGCGGGAGCATTACAGGCTCCTCGCTGAGCATGTCCACCAGTATAGGGAACCAAAATTGTCTGGGCCACCTGGGGGCTATCAGGATGACCGTGGACCTGAAGGTCTTGACCCTGGTCAGAACCCTGGGAATTAGGGGGAACGGATGGAAAGCATAAAGGATGCCCACCGGCCACGTGACCGTCATGGCATCCCCCCAGGAGTGTTCCCCCAACCCCAACAGGGAGCAGTAACTCTGACACTTGGTATTGCATGCTGAGGCAAACAGGTCTAGTAGGGGATAGCGCCACCTGAGGAAGATCTGATGAAGGGCTGAGTCCTTGAGAGACCACTCGTGGGCTCCAAAGGACCAGCTCAGAGCATCGGCCAGCAGGTTTTTGCAGCCCGGCAGGTACTCTGCCTGCAAAACCATGTCGTGCTCTACGCACAGGTCCCAGAGGTACAGAGCCTCGCGGCAGAGGGGAGGTGACCGGGCTCCCCCCTGCCTGTTGATGTAAAATACAGCTGCCATGTTGTCCAGGCGGACCAGGACAAAGAGGCGAGAGAGCTTTGACCGGAAGGTCTTGCACGCTCTCCTGACTGCACTGAGCTCCTGGACATTTATGTGCAGAGCCTGCTCTGCAGGGGACCAAAGACCCTGGGTTCTGCGGCACCCCAGGTGTGCTCCCCAACCCAGGTCCGAGGCATCTGTGACCAGAGTGAGCGAGGGGGGAGGTACAGTGAAGGGGATCCCGCTGCACACCACAGCCTCCAGAGTCCACCATTGTAAGGAGGCTATTACCTCCGGAGGCACTGAGAACTGTGTACCAGAGACCCCTGGATTGGTTGAATGCCTTTGCCAACCAGGTCTGCAGAGGCCTGAGCCTCATTCGAGCATGGCGTACCACATACGTACATGCTGCCATGTGCCCCAGTAACCTTGAGCAGACCCGGGCGGTTGTGATAGAAGACAGGGTCAATTCGGAGACCAGCTCCACTATGGACAGGAACCTGGGTCTGGGGAGAAATGCCCTCGCCCTCTGACGTCCAGGAGGGCACCCACAAATTCAAGGTACTGAGAGGGAGTCGATGACTTTTCCTCGTTTAGCATGAGTCCCAGCCTTACGAAGAGGGCCCTTGTGAGGGACACATGGGTCTCCACTTGTTCATAGGAACGGCCACGAATTAGCCAGTTGTCCAGGTACGGAAATACGTGTACCCCTCTTTTGCAGAGGAACGCCGCTACGACTGCCATGCATTTTGTAAAGACCCTTGGTGACGTTGAAAGGCCAAATGGGAGCACTGTAAATTGGAAGTGGCATCGGGAAACAATGAAACGGAGGAACCTCCTGTGGCTGGGTCTTATCGCCACATGGAAGTAAACATCCCTGAGATCGAGAGTTGCGTACCAGTCTCCTAGCTGTAGGACTGGGATGACAGAAGCCAGGGTTACCATTCTGAATTTGGATTTCACGACCGCCTTGTTGAGGTCCCTGAGATCTAAGATGGGACGGACCCCGCCCTTAGGTTTTGGGACAATGAAATATCGGGAGTAAAGGACCCCAGCTGGAAAGGGACCTTCTCCACAGCTCCCTTTTGGAGGAGTGCCAGCATCTTCTGGTGGAGCATGCCTTCGTGAGAGGTGCCCCTGAAAAGGGACGGGGCGGGCGGGTTGGAAGGGGTCAGGCCCAAAAAGGATATGGTATAGCCACTCCTGGTTTAGGACCCAGGCGTCGATCATGATTTCTGCCCAGGCCTGAGCAAACCAGGATAACCTGGCCCCAAACAGGGGGCCAGGGTGGGAGGCTGGTGCACAACTCTCTGGGAGCCCATCAAAATTGGTGCTTATGCTGCTGGGAGGGGCCTTGACCAACCCCATGGGGGTTGTCCCCCCTCGGACGATGTCTACGTCCACTTATGGACGAGGGGCCCGCAGCTGCCCCTGCACCCCCACCGGGAGGACAAGGATGGCGTCTCCAGTAATACCCATGGGGGACCTGGGACTGCGGTCTCCCCTGCTGCCTGTAGGGTAGCTGATGACGCTAAGGAGCCGGTGTGTGGATCCCCAAGGACCGTAGGGTAGACCTCATGTCCTTGAGCGCATGGAGCCTCGAGTTCGTATGCTCCGAGAATAACGCCTTGCGGTCAAAAGGCAGATCCTGGATAATAGACTGGACATCAGGAGGTATTCCAGATACCTGCAACCACACCTGACGCCATGGTGCGGCTGCAGAGTCGACAGCGTCCAGGGAAGCCTGAAGGGCTGTACGGGCGATGGCTTTACCCTCAGAGGTCATGGCCGCAAACTTCTGACGGGACTCGGCAGGCAGCTTGTCCTTAAACTTATCCACAGCCTGCCATGTATTAAAAGCATAGCGACTCAGTACACCTTCCGGCCCATCCGGTCAAGACATTTGGGCTCCCTAGCTTTCGGGGATGGCCCCGGCTGGGGGAGCTTCTCCCTTTGGGCCGCAGCCTGAACGACCAAGGACCCCGGGACAGGCTGGGAGTACAGGTGCTCGTGCCCCAACTGGGGAACGTAGTAGCATCTCCCTGACCCCTACCTTAAAAGGAGTCGAGTCGCCGGTGTTCGCCACAGGGCATTGGTAATTTTTGCCACGGTTTTATTAAGTGGCAAAGCCAAACGGGCGGGCGCGTCATCCGAAAGAATGCCAATCATGGGGTCCGTGTCCTCCACTACTGGCTCCACAGGGACACCCAGATTGGAGGCCAGATGCCTGAGCAGCTCCTGATGCGCTCGGGCATCCATAGTAGGCAGCGCCGGTGCAGGATCCGCCAGGGCTTCATCAGGAGACTATGACGACGACGACTCCTGGGTCGGTGCCGGGTTGGACAGGGGGGCAGCCTCTGGGGGGAAGAAGGGGGTCGCGACAGCGATGCTGATGGTTGCGATCAGCGACCCGAGGCTCCTGACACCAGAGGAGGGCACAGGCCCTGCCACTGGTGGTAGGCCCATGGAGTCCAGAAGGGCTACTGCGGCTGAGATGGCCAAGTCTGCTGCACCTGTGGACGATCACGTCAGTGCCGGGAGTGGGATCTAGAGCTGAAGAGGCTCCCGAGGACTCCGACCGGAACGATGAGCAATCAGACTCCGGCCAGGGAGGCGCAGATGAGGAATGTCCCGTATCCGATGGAGGGGCAAACCTGGCCATGGACTCGGGTTTACCAGCGTGAGCTCGGTGGGGGCATGCCAGCACCGGGAAGACTGGTCCCGGTGCAGTTAGCGGTGCCTGTTGCGGTACTGGGGGAACAGGTTGCTGTTGCGGCACTGGGGGAACCGGGCCCGGTGCCGAGAGTGGTGTTGGTGCTGAAGGGTTGAGCCTTGGTGCCCGGGCTTGTGCCGGTCGCGGCACCGGGAGGCCCAGTCCTGGTGCCGGTTGCGGTGCTGACGCGGAGCACAACGGCGCTGCCGAAGCCGGTATCGGTTGCAAGATGAACCCTGAAGAAACCTACGTCACTGTTGACTGAGGCACTGGCAAGGTCCACATGGTCGATGCCGGTGCCTGCGACGGTGCCAAGACGTGCATCAGTGCTGCAGAGGCTGACGCTGAAGGGCCCAGCGCCGACGACTGGCACAGCACCTCTAGGAAGCTGCTCAATGCCAGCGTCGACGATGACGGTGCCGTAGACATTGCCACAAGGCTAGAGTGGTACGGCAGGGGGGCGGCCAGGAGGGGGACAGAAAGAGGTCCTAGCACCGAGGAAGGCCGAGACCAGTCGGGGGCCGGGTGAGGCATGGAGGCCTGTGTCGATACCGGCACCGGTGAGGAGGCAAGCGGTACTGGTCCCACTGGGGACGATCCCGCTGCGTAAGTGGCCTGAGCCGTCCGATCATGCCGGTGCGGAGGCGAAGCCAAAGCCAACACGGCCTCTGGCGTAGGTGACCTCGACCCTTCCGCTTCAACCGATGACGGAGGGGAGGTAGTGAGGCTAATGAGGTCCTGCGCTGCCTCAAAGGTGTCCAGTGTGGAAGGGTGGTGAGAGGGTAATTGCCCTGGATTGGACGGATGTCCTGCTTGCTTACGCCACACTGTAGAGGATGAGGATGAGGATAAGTGCACCGGTGAGTTGGCACCACGGTGCAGGCCCAACCTGGATTTCCAGCTTGGAGACCTCCCGCGAGACTCTCTCAACCTCTTCGGTGCTGGAGAGTGAGACCGGTGCCGGGCCCTCGATGCCGAGGTCCTGCCTCGGGGTGGAGCATCTTACATAGACGCCAGTGCACTGTGTACTGCAGAGTGCCCAGCCGGTACTGGCTATAAAGCCGCATCCATGAGGAGGAGTTTTAGACAAATCTCTCCCTCTTAGTGCTCGGCTTAAAAGACTTGCAGATCTTACAGACATCTGTAAGATGGCCCTCACCCAGACACTTCAGACAACTGTCGTGAGGGTCTCCTTTGGGCATGAACTTTGTGCAGACAGCGCACGCCTTAAAGCCTTGCGGCCCTGGCATTCATCACCCCCGAAAGGGGGAGAAGGGACAAAACAAAGTCACTAACTACCTAACTAATTGAACTATTTACAATGCTAAGAGAAAACGGGAACCATTAACTGATCTGAGAGAGAGAGAGAGAGAGAGAGAGAGAGAGAGACGGAGACGCTCCAACGACCGTCACAGGCGGTAAGAAGGAACTGAGGTGGGGCAGTGCCATGGCGGTGCCCTGCCGGCGCTACGGGTACCGCTAGGGAAAACGCTCCAGAAGACGCAGTACACGCAGTGCGCACACCTAATTCGAATGGACTTGAGCAACCACTAGAAGAAGAATCACTTCTCTAGATCTGCTGGCAATGCTTCTCCTAATGCAACCTAATATGCCGTTAGCCTTCTTGGCTACAAGGGCACACTGTTGACTCATTTCCAGCTTCTCATCCACTGTAATCCCCAGGTCCTTTTCTGCAGAACTGCTACTTAACCAGTCAATCCCCAGCCTGTAACAATGCTTGAGATTCTTTCGTCCAAAGTCAGAGTGGCAGACTGCCAAACACAAAGCAAGAAATGCCTGCTGATCTGGATTCTCTTTAATCACCCTATTTGATTGTGGTCTTCTCTAAAACAGTTTCCTCATAGCCCAGTCTAAGAGCTTAGTGGCTTTGCTGGAACCCTAGGCATAACAGTGTGTGAATCTGAGTAGGCCTTGGCAGAATAGTAGCAAGGTGTCACATAACCAAGTAAGCTCTGACTAGAGGATGGTACAAAACCACACAGATCTCTCAGGTTCTAATTAACACTTTCCTAAGAGATAGACACCACCATGCCCCCTCAGCAAGAGAAGGATGGGCTGACAGGATAATGGATGAGGATGTTTTAATTCACTCTAGCACAGGGATGGAAAACCACGAATAGTGGGTGGGCTGCCTGAGTAACCCTCCTTGTGGCCACAGGAGCCCACAGCTCCTCATCTGTCCCCATCCACATGCGCCTCTCATGCACTAGGGCCCTACACTTACCTGTTCTTTCCCTTCCTCCCAGCACTTCCGAAGTGCCACAAATTGCCTGATTTGCACTCTGCCCCACTCCTCTGTCTCCTCTCCTAGAGCTGCTGATTGGTGGCATGTCAGCTCTGGGAGGGAGGGAAAGGAGCAAGGACCGAGTGTGAATCAGGCAATTTGTGTGATCCACTCTGGGCACCACCAGGGAAACTGCACAGGTCCGCAAGAGGCCGGCGCCCACCTGGTCTAGTGCGGACATCGTGGACCTCATCCACGACCTCCGCACTAGGCAAAGGAAAGTGGCCATCTAGGGCAGGATAGCTGCCAGCCTGGCCACCCAGGAGCAGGTTTGCATGAAAATCAAGGTGGTCCAGTGAGACCCCCCCGACCCTGAGCTTAGAATGGCCATACTGGGTCAGACCAAAGGTCCATCTAGCCCATCTGCCGACAGCGGCCAACACTAGGGACCCTGGAGGGGATGGACCGAAACAATG